TTTGCAATGCAAGAAAAAGATGATAATCGCTTGGTGCCAAGTCCGGACTGTATGGCGGATGCATTAAAACTTCCCACCCAAGCTCCCGAAGTTTCTGGGGAGTCACTGTAGATGTGTGTGGCCTAGCGTTGTCCTGGTGGAACACGACACCTCTCCTGTTGGCCAATTCTGGCCAATCGCTATCTTCAAACGGTCCAGTTGTTGACAGTAGAGATCAGAATTTATCGTTTGGCCATATGGAAGCAACTCATAATAAATAATCCCCTTCCAGTCCCACCAAATGCATAGCAAAACCTTCCCGGCCGTTTGAGGTGCTTCACCGCTCTTTGACCACGATCTTTTTCGCACAGGGTTATCGTATGTGATCCATTTCTCATCTCCAGCCACCATCCGTTTAAGAAATGGGTCTATCTCATTCCGTTTGGCCAAGGCTTCGCAGATGGAAATTCGATCCATCATGTTTTTTTCTGTTAATTGGTATTGCACCCAAACATCGAGCTTCTTTTTGAATCCAGCTTTGTGTAAATGGTTTAAAACTGTTTTATGGTCGATTTTTAGCTCCTGGGCGATGTTACGACTGCTAACATGCCGATCAACTTCGATCATTTCTCCAATTTTATCGACATTTTCGACGACCGGCCTACCTGTGCGAGGTGCATTTTTAACATCAAAAATTCCTGAACGGAATCTAAGAAACCAAAATTGCACACAATTGGCTGTTACAGTATCGGAACCATAAACACCATTCACAATTTTAGCCGCCTGGCTTGCATTTTCGTCTTTGTCAAAGAAAAACTGTAAAATGTACCGAATTTTCTCTTTGTTCACTTCCATTTTTAACACGCTGCAACTCACAACTGAATGCACCAAACAAAAAACAGCAAAGGAATTTTTTTTTACTGCGAAATGTACAGTATGTAAATATACAGTATCGGAAATTGTTTCATCGATACTTTACGAGAAATCTATCAGTGCAGCCATCTACCGAAAAAGTAATGGATTTCTTTTTCCCCAAACTAATATATATATATATATATATAGGTGAGATTTTGATACGCAACATTGTGAGGATTATGAACATTCTCGTGTTAGGCAAAATGTTACTTAGTTAGTTTACAACATTTATACTATTGCACTACGCTTAACTGTGTCATATACTCGATACATGCGAATACATTTTCATAGAAAAAATATGGATTAATTCGACTTTTTTGTATGTGCCAACGATCGAAAGGTTGCAATTAGTTTCGACCCAATTATTGCTGGTACATATTCTCTTATCCTATAATAATAGCGGCAATTGCCATGGAAATGATGAATGAACTTAAAACGTCCATATTCATGCTTTATTACATATCAAGATAGGGTTATTATCAAGTTTCGATTTTGATATTTTTGTTGCATCGAACCTCATATTTTTTTTTTTTTTTTTTTTGCCACCTTGTTTGCTTTCTATGAATTTCTGTATTTTGTGTTTTGTTGCAATTTTCATTGAATAACTTGAACAAATTTTTGTATGTAAAGATAAAAACATAAAAGAATTCAAAATTGGGCCATTACTGAAACAAGTCATAATAAAAGTATGCCTTCAAATGTACGAAAATTTATTGAGTTCCTGTCACTGACGGACTTGCAAGGGAGGGGCGATACTTTTGCTTTGCTTTGAAATCGAATCGATTGATATGATAAAGGAAATATTAAAACGCGATTTTTGAATAACTTTATCGAATCATGAACGAATTTAATCTTCTGATGGTATAAAAATGATTTCTTCATTAAAGTCAAGTCGAAAATCTCAAATGAATTTAAAGGAAATTTAAATTCAGAAACATTTCTTAATTGCGTATTACTTTTCATATGGTGTACGATTCGATTTCGATTCGATTCGATTCGATTGTGTGAAACGAGGCGACTACTAATGCTGTCCTGCATTAAGATCTCTAGGCTCCTGTGTCGGATAAGTATATCTCTACTCAATTTCTCTTTATATGTTTTAGCTTTCAAACTGCGACAGTGACTTTACCTTTGGACCTTTGTATACGCATAAGAATAGATATGGTAAGGATGCTTTCTTTCTTCCATCTTTTACAAATCAATTAAAATGACACTTTGGCAGCTCTTCTTTTGCCGGTTTTTCCGTTAATTATGATTATTTTTGATGAGTTCCAATTTTCGATCTTTTCGTTTAAGCGTAAGAACGCCTTAACATCTATTGTTGTGTAGATAATGAAGACAAGTTATAAATACTAGATAAGTTATATATAAGAGTTGTGTATAAGAGAATGGCTATCCAGATGCTCCTCTTCAGAGTGCTATCATCAAATGACATGCATTGCGTACGTTTCTGATACGTGCATGCTTCTTGCACCCGTCTATAGATACTCATATTTGTATGTTGTGTTTGTATTTAGAATGGACGTCGGAGAGGTATGTTTTTTGTATATATATATATATATTGTATTTATATACAGGAGAAAGTTTCACTTGTGTAATTTATGCTGAAATAGTAGTACATATATATATTTATATTTATAAAGACCATGTATATATAGATGAAATATTATTTGTAATAAATGATTATATGAATAAATTACCAAACAACGTACACAAAAGTTGATATACACATACGTATATAAATATATATAAACATGTATATATATATATACGTACATACATGTATGAATGCATACATATACACGCAATACATACGCATATTATATAAATACATGCATTCATGCATGCATGCATACATACATACATACATCGCATACATACATACATCCATCCATACAAACAATATATTGTTTTACGATAGAAACTACTTCATATTTATCTAAAAAATATTCAGTTCTTTTATTCGACCGTTATCTCTTCTTCTATTTGTGTGTTGTCATGGTGAAAGTCAAAAATGTTATATTAATTTTTTTTCAATTTATTTTTCTTTTTCCCTCTTTTTTTTTACATACAAGCAGGGATACAGTTGCGAAGGCACACACAACTTTAGTATATGTTGAAAATATCCTTAAGTCATAGAAAAAAAATTTTTTTTTATGCATTTTATATTTTTCACAAAACGGAATTTAACCCAGAGACACATAAATTTTATACCAATTTTCCGGTAAAAGAAACTTCCGCTTACAAAGTGTCTAAAGCGTTTTAAGATGATGATGTTAAATAAGAAGACGAAGAAGAAGAAGAAGAAAAAGAATGAGAAAAAGAAGAAGAAGAAGAGACAGTTTACTTGAATTTCCTCATATCTTTAAAAATAAATTTTTTGCGTCCTTAAAATCGACCAAAATATGCGCAAAATTAAATAAAATGAAACAAAACTTTATTTATCTTAAATGAAACCTTCTATGCTTATCACCTATGACTTACTCATTAAGAAATGAATGTATGATGTATATTGTAAATTAATAAAAAAAAAAAAAATTTTCATTACTTTTAGAAAAATCGTACAATTGAAAAAAACGTGCACATAACTGCAAGAGAAAAATGACGAGCGAGAGAAAGAGCGAGACCATGTTCTAAGAAAACTTCTACGACCAGTTTCTCTAGTTTACATCTTATTAATTCTTTTGTTTTTTTTTTTTTTTTTTTTGTAAATGAAACAAGGCAAACTCGAATTACATCCATAATGTCGCCAAATGAAAATGATTCAAAATCGGTAATAAAAATGCAACCTTTGATAAATTTTCTAAAGTTCGTATACAAACTCTGTTATAGAAGACGATAAAAGCAAACAATATTGACAAACATTGGAACTTTGCCATTCAATCTTTTACTAATGGTTTCCGATAGTAGATCATATACAAATGAGGGAAAAAATTTTAATGGGACATGGCCATCCTTTAATGACAGAGTTTCGTTTAATGCAGTTACATAATATGACGACTTTTTAAAATAAGATTTTGTAGTTTTAGGAAATGATCATTTTAAGTAATATTTGTCCTTGGGCCAAAACATGTCAGCGTATTAAATTTCATCAAAATATCTCGAAAATTGCAACCTTTAAGATTGAGCACCAAAAAAAAAAAAAAAAAAAAACCAGAAGGGCGTGTGGACCAACGGACAGGTATCTTAAACCTATTCAAAAAGTCACTTTGAATCGATTGGTATAATGAAAGGTTGATCTATTTCAAGTCCTTCCATGTCTTGGATACATTCGCACAAACCTAATACACACAAGTGGCGTGAGGTATAAAGATAGAAATTAATGCGATGTTCGGACAGTAATATCGTTCTTTGATTACACTTAAGCCGCGATGGCCATTTTAGATTATGGCGGCTGAGTAAGTCTTGTTTGCGGGAGGTTTGCCTAACCTAATTGTAAAATATAAAAATACTTTCCGAGTGAAAAAAGCAATTGCTGGATAGGTATGAAGAGGGGAGAACGTCAAACATAAACCTGGCTTGCACAATATGGTTCCGACAATTTTCATATTGTTTTGAGTGAACACATTTTATAACACAACAATAGGAGAGATCAACGGTTTGGATCAGAAGATGTAAAACTATTACAATAGGTGGGACAGTTGTCCCACTTTACAATTTAGTTGAGGTTTTTTTCCATTGTGTATGCACTTGTAGTTGTAGCCAATCAGCTTTTGTTGTTATGCTGTATTTTATGATTGAGTGGCAGCGAATGATTAAGAAGCAGTGAAAGATGAAATCCACTAAATTTTAGAAAGAAAAATGATTTATATTGGATCTATGAGGGAATCAAAATCACAGCAAGGTTAAGAAGTTGCAGCATCACTTTTTTTTTCCTTATCTATAACTTGTAAAAGACGATCGATCAAAGGAAGCTCGTCTACCGAATTATCGAAAAAAAGTCCGAAATGAATGAGACGAAAGAGTTTATAAAACAATATTTTTATCGGTATATATTTTGTTCTATACAAAATTTCGCAAGATCATTGTTAATTTGTGTAAATCTTGTTGATTTGATCTGATTAAAGCACCAAGAAGAAGAAAAAAAAACCAAAAAATAAACAATTCTAAATTTCAACTAACGCAGTGCCAACCTCGCTGGCTATGTCCTCATGTACTAAGCAATTGATGTCGTCCTTACTGTCATACAATTTGGCCATAGTACCGCAGAACCAAAACGGTTGCATTTGATTTTTCCAACGGCGTAACATGTAGCGATGACAAAATTGCCGCGAACCCTTTATTAAATCCAAAATCAACGGAAATAATGAATGGCACATTGTATCAGCTAAAAAATACGTGCTTCTTCGATAATTTTGAATATCACCCACGGCACTATAGAATTCTATAGCCTTCTTAAAAGACGCCTTCGCCCATGACTTTTGATTGCTAAGCTCTTGTAGTTTTCCTAAATTAAGCATAGCTTTCGCTTCGTATTCTTTTTTACCGAGCTGTCGTGCTAACACTAAAGCCTTTAAAAAATACTGCATAGATTGTTTTTCATCGCTTAAACTGAAAGTAAATAGCAAAACAATAATGATAATACATATATATGTATAAAAAATTAAAATTAAAATTAAATTAAAATGATTAAATATATGAATATATATATATATATATATATATATATATATATATTTGAAATGATTGCAATATGTATTTACTTAAGTAAAGAGATTGCCTTAGAGAGTGCAAGACGTAGTGACATTATTGGTTCGTATTTGTTTGGTGCTAAAAATTTGAGTTCATTCTCAACATCTTCCAATGTTTTATTCGCCAATCTGTAGTGTTTCTCCTCAACATAAATTTCGGCTGAAGTCAATAGCGTACTGATTATGTCAGCCTGGTTGGCAGTGAGACCGCCTATTGAAAAATATATATATATAACTTACAGTATTTTTAATAATTCTCTCACAATCTGTTGATCATATTAACCTTCGGATAATATTAAAAGAGCTTTCCGATTAAAGGATAAAGCCCGATCCATATCGATTGACATAGTTAATCGGCTTAGTTCTAAAAGCGATTTGGCCTTCTTGCGGGCCAACTCTTGAGTTAATTTGGAATAGCCTTCTTTCTTTAGATACCTCACTTCGGCCAGCCAGTTACGATCCACAGCCAATTTCATTGCCATATCATAATATTTTATTGAGGTTTCATGTTTTCCAACTTAAAAAAAATATATGCATATATATATATATATATATAGAGAGAGAGAGTTTTATGGGTTCAATTCGAAGTCTGCAAAAAAAAAAAAATTAACCGATAAAGAATATTGAGCTAAGCAAGCAAGAGCAATTTCACAGAATTTTCAAAAGAATTATTTGTAAAGCCTCTTTTTTTTCATTACATCTCCCTTCATATTGTTAGCCGTCGATTCAAAACGTTACTAATATCGGTAGATTCCAAAATTTGAATCCTTTTTTTATATTAGCTCCGGTGAACTTAAGCTTAAACTTTCGGGAAGAAGGATTTTATGCAAACCCCAATTAGTGCTCTACCCAATATCCACCAGCGGAACCATTCAAATAATTTTTGCAAGAGATAGGAATATTGGAATCGGGCTTTTAATCGACACTTGCTTTGCTATGGGCTTATTCATTTCTTAGCTACGGTTAACGCGGTTATTGGTTCAAAGCTGATCAAACTTTCAAACCATTAAAAAGAAAGAATATAAGGACACGATTTCATTAATTTTTCATATCCATTTTTGCGACGGAATGACAGACCAACGAAACTGCATACGGATATCAAATTATCAAGAAATTATATATGTTTCTTGTGGGGTCTTGGGTACATTTTTGGGTGTGACAATTAATTATCGGCTAAATACTTTAATATTTACAAGAACGAATCGAGAAGTAAAACTTACGTCTGTCAGATAAGATTTTTGCATATGAAAAATATATATGACACAATGGCTGGTCGGAGAGTGTTGATTTTGGGCCCAACTTTTCACCAATTCTCGTCACAATTTGAAGAATGTCTTGCAATAACCAGTCATATTTAAGATTCTGGGGCGTCTGCAACTTTAGGATAACCTGATGCAAAAGATTAAATGTTTTATGCAATCCTTCATAATTTGGCAATAAAGCCATTTTTTCTGCCATCCTGCATTTGTCATATATGTCGAGAAGGAGTGTCGGCTGCTCCATTAAACGATCTCTGATAACATTATCTTTAAAGTACTCATCTTCAGTATTAATTTCAATTTGAAAGTGTTTGGCCGTATACGTTAATCCATCTTCCAAGAGCTCAGTAATAAGAACATCGTATATGGGTCCTGTTACACGTCTCGCCTCTCGATACGCTATAGCGGAAATGTGCTTTTTAAGCTCTTTCCGATCATAGATAACATCGAAGTGATATTTTTCTTTCTTAGGCATTTTCCCCGATAGGTGCTGCTGCTTTTCCTTTCCTTCCCTTCCCTGCCTTTTCAAAGTTTCAGTTTGTTTGTATATCAATAAAAATTATTAATAAACTTGCTTTTTTTTAAAAAAAAAAAAAAAAAAAAAAAAGAAATCTCGCTCGCTCTTTTGCAAGTACAATCGCGAAATTGCGTTTAAAAAAGCAAAAATTATAAAATCGTTTCTCGTTTATCGGTACGACGTTCGCTCAAAATTTAATAAAAAATAAAATTAAAAAAACGATTGC